TAAAAATTCAATCAACACTGCCTATGACATGGGGTGAGTGGTAGGCATCTTAATGGATGTTAGCAGCATATACCAGCATCGGCCAGTCATCTCCAAATGGTTTCCCTTGATACCACTGGATGGGTATGTGGTAAATGTCATTGAATTGATGCTAGCAACATTGTTGGTATGGAAGTGGCTGTTCTTATGATTGTGCGATCCTCTTGCACTTATTTGTATTCCTGGGATGCTCTGAACCTCCATGATGGTAGACTATCTTTTCTGATTCATTGTCACCAACACCAAGCAACTACCATAGCCCTTCGACCAAAGTGGCAGCCGATACGCCTGTTCGACTAATCTGCTTCTCTGAGGCCTACTATATGCACCTTTAAAAGTCTGACAACTGTTTGTACTGCCACCGGTTCAATTTCAGAGGCATCTCTAATCACAATATCATCCATCCAAGTAGACAGATTCGTTTGAATAGCACTATGGCACAAGAAATCATGGTTTTAAACTCCCCCAGCTGCGATTTCATATGCGCATAGCACACTTACCCTTGTCTCATTGGCGTCAAAATTTAAATAATTTGCATTTCTCTTACCACACTACATTTCTGCTGAGTTTCATGATTGTGGTGGCTCGATTTCTACTGAGAGCATATATTTTTTTTGAGACAGAGTATATACACATAAAGTAAGATATTTAGAACTAATTTTTTACAAGTTATTATTTCACAAATTACAAGTTATTGAAAAATCAGTTCTAAATTTCTTAAATTTCTAACTTTATGTCTTTACTGATAAATTTTTAGCAGCTTAATGAGGGAGAATACTAGGCATGTTTATATACTGTTTTCAAAAAAATTGTTCTGTAATTATATATATGTAGTATCCGTAAGTGCGACACAACCACCAGAGGGCCTCACCGATGCGCCAGCAGCGAGGTGAAAGAGGAGTATGACAGAGACCTTTTTCTGCTATCCCACGCGAAGGTGGTGAAATGTCTGTCTGCACGTGAAGGTGTAGAATAAAGAACTGTAGTTTTCCACGTGAAGGTGGTAAATTGAACTGTTTAATACATCAGCAAGTGCGAGTAGGCACTAATCGGTTATGTGATAAGACTGGTAAAACTATACAGAATCCTGTTTGTATCAAACGGCACTTGTGATTAATCTAATTTGTACCTTTTCTGATTATCTTTATTAAATGTTCTGTTGTGTGGAAAACGACGTTGGAATTGTTATTTAGCATCTTCAACTCCACCCACTACAGAAAATCTGGGGGCCTGTCCGGGATATTTGGTTACTTGATATTTGGATACTTCATACTTGGATACTTCAGAGAAGGTAATGTGAAAACTTTGCTTTATTTCTTTCTTGAAGATAGTGATACTTTTGTTTCGTTTTTAAAATGAGTTTCCTAAATAATTTAAAGAAAAGTGATTTAATAGTAATTGCGGAACAAATTGGACAGACTGTTCCAGAAAATGCTAAAAAAGCTGACATTAGAAAAATTATCGAAAATTCTGATGTTTTCAAAACGAACGTTGAATTTGTTCGTGGCGTCGTCAAGTCGATCGCAGAGGAGGATCGGATGCCTAAAACAAGTAATGAACACTATCTGTTAGAGATCGAACGTCTTAAATTAGCTCAAATTGAGAAGCAGATTGAATTAGAAAGTTTAAAATCACAATCATTATCGAGTGATAGAGGAAACGCGCAGACTAGTGTTGAAGATATTATTAAAAGCGTCAAAACACTAACTATAGCTGTACCTCAGAAACTGGAAGCTATGCATTTGTTCTTTCAGTCACTTGAGATAGCTTTTACTACTAAAAGTGTACCAGTGGAGTTAAAATTAGAAGTGTTGATTAATTTATTAGGTGATAAATGTAATAATGTTCTAACGTATGTTTCTGAACAAGAAATCGCGGTTTATGATAAATTAAAAACTCTAATCTTGAAAGAATTTCAGCTAACACTGCGTGAATGTTTGAACAATTTAAAAAATGCACAGAGACTCTTCTGCTATCCCACGCGAAGGTGGTGAGATGTCTGTCTGCATGTGAAGGTGTAGAATAAGGAACTGTAGTTTTCCACGCGAAGGTGGTAAATTGAACTGTTTAATACATCAGCAAGTGCGAGTAGGCACTAATCGGTTATGTGATAAGACTGGTAAAACTATACAGAATCCTGTTTGTATCAAACGGCACTTGTGATTAATCTAATTTGTACCTTTTCTGATTATCTTTATTAAATGTTCTGTGGTGTGGAAAACAACGTTGGAATTGTTATTTAGCATCTTCAACTGCACCCACTACATATATATATATATATACATTTAAATTAATAACATAAATACAGTGGGTGTTTATACATATTTAGGATTATTTGAATAGAGTTTTTTTTTAAAGCAAATGTTTTGAAGTAAAAATATCTGGCAACAGATTATTAATATGAAGTGACAAATATCATTTGCTACTTTTAAACTGTTCCTCTTTCAAATTATTGCATGCAAACAAACTGTGGCTTGAAGGATATGTTTTTGTGCTTTTTGAAGAGAAATATTCCTATTTTATAATTCAAAATCATTGCAAAATGCATCATACTAAAATTTCTAAGTGCAAAATAAGCAACATTATTAATTGGAAAGGGACAAGGAAATCATTACTTCGACATTGAAAGAAGACAACAAGGAAATATCCAAAAAAGTACACACTGTTTCCAATGGTTTGGAAGTTAAATCGCTGGGAACAAGAGAAACCCGCCAATCTTAAATACATCTGTTAGCAACAAAAAATAAAGTAATGAACCAAGATTTCCAACTTTAAAAAGCTAAAAACATAATGATGATTATCAGCTTTTGCCAAGGCTTGTGGCTCAACATGGAACAATATCTAGAATCCTATATAAAAATTATTTAGCAGAAGACAAATGGAAATACATTATGACCTTTCATGAAGCATGCATTTATCTAAATCACTGCAACAACAACAACAACAAAAAAGGTCTATTTATTGTCAAAAACAAAGAGAACAAAATGTACAAGCCTGGTTCCATCATTCCAAAGAAGTTTCAGAGGGATTTATGACTGGCGCAGAATTCTCTTACAGTGCAAAGCTGAAAATAAAAAGACTAAAAAGCAATGTTAAAATCACCTCAACATGCTATTAAGAAAAAGTTTCACATCTGATATTTACAGAAGAAATTAATTTTCTTTATTCCAATGGTTTTCAAAGTTAAACTTCATGAAAGCAGAGCAACAAGTCATACTTCAAAAAGTAGCACTGCATTTCTTGAAAAAAAAAAGGGGGGGGAAGAAGAAGGGGACTGATACAAATATTCAACATGCTCCTGCAGTGCTCTGGTATTTTACATACAAGGTATTTCTCCCGCCTTCTTAGCATGCCTTCGTGGTGTAGTGGTAAGCACACTCGGCGCATATTCGAGAGGTCCGTAGTTTGAGTCCCGGCGAGGGTACTGCACATTTTTCATGTCTCTCAGCATTAAAAATCCTGATGTCTCTACAGTGGCATCCGAACTAAAAAGGGTGGTGAATGTTCAATTTTCACCACCAGGTTTTGGCAACTGGGTCCCCTAATCCCCCAGTTACCCTTTAAAAGGGTGAAAATATATGGCATTTCTCCCACCTTTCTTAGCACACCTTCATGATGTAGTGGTCAGCATGCTTAGTGCATATTCGAGAGGTCTATGGTTCGAGTCCCAAAGAGGGCACTGAACATTTTTCACATCTCTCAGCATCAAAAATCCTAATGTCTCTACATACCTTTGGACTATTATGCATTTATTCTCTCAAAAAAGAGCTCTTTCTATGCGCAAAGCCACCACTATGTAAGAAGTCTGGAAAGTAGTAGCAGAGGAACGGAAATCAATACCCCCGAAAATTTTATGAAAAGCCCTTCTTTTACGGAAATCCTAATGCAGACTTACGTTAACAAATGTTAGTTCTTAAGAATTTTTTACTTTTAAGGCATAAACATTTTAATATCGTTTAAAATTTTGTAAAAAGCCAATAAATTTGTAAAAAGACATTAATTGAAGAATTTACTATGCTTTTATAGTTCAACATCCTGATTTGCCAGTTCATATCACATGACCCCAAGTGATCTCATCTATGTAAACTACGCTACAAAAATCTAATTATCTCAGTAATTATCTACATTAATTTCAAGTTAAATCTTAATTTGGAATACAAGTTTAAATGAAAGAATTATTTCAATTTGTACGAATAGCTTACTCAGAAATTATGTAAACCCACAGTGCTTTACTTCGCTAGTGCATTCTCATTAAAACTGATGAATTTAACTCTTGGCTTTGCCTTTTCTATATTTTCACCTTTGGGTGTGTGGTGTGATTGCATCCTAATTGGCTTAATTACAGCGAAGGACCAGCCTTAGGGCATAAAATTGAACTATCTGGTAAAAATTCTATGTAATCGTATGCCAGTATTGAAAGAAACAATCAATCTAATATGAAATGGTTGTGACTTGTTTTGAAAATAAGGCATAAAAGGTTACCAGCGAGGATATTCTGTTTGTTATCAGTTGTACCATTATTGGTTAATTTATCGCCTGCGCCGGCAAAACGGAAAAGTACCAAACACCTTTTCACATTTTAAACATCTCTAAATCATTCTAAAAACTTGTAAACAACTTCTGTATTAGCCTTTATCTCTTTATATGACCATTAAACTTACACAAGTAAATTAAATGTAGCAAATGAATTGTAGAAACTTTATTTTAATTAATTTTTAAAGTTATAACATAACACAGTGGATAAAGAAAATGTTTAAATTAAATAATTAATCCATACAGAAAATTTAAGTGCTTTAACGAATTTTATCTTAGACTAAGTCACTATAGCACAATTTAATACAGTAAGATCAATTTATTGCAATCACAAATAATATATATACTGGCTTAAATAATTTTCATTAACTAGGATGCATATTTGCTGATCCTATTTGTATGCACATGTTCAAGAATACTAGGCTTACTTCAAATGTATAAGATGTTAGTTGTTTTGTAGTTTGAGTCAGGTTTCCATATACTTCTAACTCCTCAGGATCTTCAATGAGTGCAACATCAGAAGCTTTTGAACAACAAAAAAAAAAAAAAAAAAAAAAAAAATTTTTTTTTTTTTTTCTAAATTTTTGTAGAAATTAGTAAATATAAAATAACAGAACAGGAAAGTTTTTTGTATGGTATCATATCTGATTATAAAGCTTAATTTGAAAATTCTATGTCCACAAAAAATATTTGATATTTCTAATAAATAACTGTAAAACATACATGCATATGGATATTACAAATTGATTTTGAAAATAAAAAATAATTCTATACATGGAAATAAATTAAATTTAGAAACTTTATTTGTGCTGTGTTAAATTATTAAATAAAGTAATTAATTCTTCATTCCTTAAAAGCCAATATCATATAAACTGCCAAAAAATAATATCATAATTGTACTTACCCATCCAATCATCCATACTGTCCAATCGAATCTTTTTAGCAGATGGTTCTTCGGATGTCTGCTCCAGAATATGTTAAGAAAAAAATGCTTATTACAAGCAAATATACACAGTGATTACAAAAGTTTTTACCTGGTTTATATTTTTTCTGGTTGTAGATTCATACTTCCAGGTATAAAAATGTTTTGAATGATGAAATTTATGTTCTGTCATTTTAAACATAAAATAGTTCAAGGTAGATTCCCCCTTCCCCCAAAAGGCCATTTAATGATATTCTTTTGTGATTTACTACTGTGTAACATTGTTTAATTTTATTACAGCTAGTATATCAAAAGAGCTTTCATAAGTAATTTATAAGTTTTCAAATCTTATCAATACATTATTAATATTGTCATGAAGTTTTATTTCTTTGGAGTCATAATTTAGAAATCGTACAAAAAATTTTAAAATTCCAAAACATGAATATTTGTGTCATTTTAAACATATTTGTAACTGGAAGTGTATGTCTAAAGAATTGGGAAAAGTAAGGACTTTTGCAGACATGATGAATAGCTAATAAAACTTAATTAATAAATGACAAAAACCAATTTATAAAAAAATAGCTAAATGTAAAGAATTATCTTTTTAATAAAGCATTCAAAGCCTTGAAATAAGCAAAGAAGGACTGGAATGAACAAAGTAAACAAACAAACACCCCCCCCCAAAAAAACGGCCTGCGTGGGAGGAGGCAGTCTTGGGTTTCAATTTTTATGCCTGAAAATACTGTAACCTATAAATTCTATTAAAATCAGAAACATTTTTATTGCATAAGATGCCAATAATAAAAAACATGATCAGGAGAGGTTGTAGTGAGGGAAAACATTCAAGAGCAATGGGTTGAAATAATTATTGTATATTTTCATGTATAAGTTGAGAATTTTTGGAACTTTTTCTAAAGCTAAATTACAGGGATTGGCTTATATTCGGATCTGCTCATCTCACAAGAAACATAGGTACTTTACATAGGTAAAAATAGGTAGCCAGGTACAAGTGATAAATAGCCAAATATATAGCACATTTTTTGTTTCTTTGGTATATGCTTCTAAAGTGTACACAAAAAATTAAATGAAATGAGTTATTCTGTAAGGATCTTAAGTCCTTACTAACGTTTATTTTATTTTAAATCTTTACTATCACTTCTTATTTTCTACTTCCGGCCAGAATTATAAGCGTGAAGGTTTTTATGCAAAGTTTGTCTGGCGAACGCCAAGTATTTAAGTGTGGCCTTTTTGCCAAGCGAAAGAGAGAGAGAGGAAGCAGTGAGGTCAAAGCAGGCCGCTTACCTTAGAAGTTACGCAGTTGCTGTTTGCCTTCCAGGCCAGAGGTTTTAATCCTCTTGATAAATTAAACGTATTGTAGTGTTCACAGTCTCTGTGCTACATACGCTTCCTGTTATTATAAGGCCAATCTTCCACGTGTATTATTCTAAAGTTAAATTAGAGTTTAGTTTTATTTTTATACTTTTACGTTAGACCCCGAGTGGAGGGTCAGTGTATTCCGAAGTACGGAAGTTATTGTATATAGAGAAAAATAAAGGGTTTTGTATACCCTTCGTCTGTATCCTGTCTACTTACTACACAATTAGTGAACATAGCTTTAGTAAGCTCTCTGTTCCTAGTCAGGTCCTTGTATGTTCCCGAAGAAGGTTAGAAGGAACATTGAACCTGATAGTGGCGCCCAACGAAGAAGAATAACCATGGCCGAGTTTCAAGAAGAACCTGTGCTGCCTGCAGAAAACGGCTCAGAATCCAGAAATGCCAGCTGCCGCCCTGGAAGGATTTGGGTTACATCGTCCAGACCATGCGCGCTTCGATGAAACCAGAAGCAACGTTTAATGGAAACTCACCGGTAACCAGTTTTTTGGAAAAATTGGATGACCACTTCATGCTCTACCCCGTGCACGAGTTTCAAAAAGTTACCTTAGCTACCAGCGCTTTGAGGGGCCAAGCGCTTAACTGGTTCAAATGTATCGGCAGAAGTCTCTTGGGTCAAGCAGGAAAGTCCCACCTATACTTACGAAAATTTCAAGACTGCCCTACTAAAAGCCTTCCCTGTTGTAAGGGATCGTGCGAAATTAGAAACGGAACTTTTCAGTATATATCAACAAAGAATCGAAAACCTCTCGAGCTTTATTTTAAGAAAAATTCACGTTTTCAAGCTCTTGTATGGAAACCGTCCGGATCCTGAAATAATTCAAGTGATTTTGCCGAGGTTACTACCCCCCAAGTGCAAGACTTTATTGAATTAAGAAATCCGACTACACTGGAAAAGTTATTTGAGCTAGCAATCCAGTTTGAAAGTAGAAGAACGGCGGACGTCGAAAGAAGACGCCAATATCAACAGCGAAACCAATTTGGTACGCCAAGACTACAGCAAACTCAAGCACATGGCTACGGAGAAAAAAAGCGAATCAGTGGGCAAGGAAACCCGAGCATTCAAAAACAGCCGGCGAACGTCGACAGTTCAATAGCAACCCAGGAAAAAAGTCTCAAGGCCAGTGGAAAAGAGAGGAAAGCACGGAAAGGAAAAAATAATTTAAACTAAAACGGATTTCTGCGGACGAGAGGGTGCGGAAATCCGAAGGCCACGAAAACCCCTCTTCCTACAAGTTAAATACAGTAATGGTGAAAAATTTGACTCTTCCGAAGATTGAAGTCTTGGTGAATAATATCCCGGCCACCGCACTCCTGGATACCGGCGCGCAGTGTTCCTGTGTGGCAGAAGAGTTTTTTAGAAAGTATTTTCGCAAATACCGCATATATAATGCGGATAATACGACAGTATTAGCGGCGCAAGGAGAACAATGTAAGTGCGTAGGTAAAGTACCTTTGTATATCCGTATCAAGGACGAACAAGTAAAGGTGATGTTTTTTATAGTAAAGAATCTGCAAGCACATTTAATCTTAGGAATAGACTTTCTTTCAGACGCACAAGCTACACTGGATTTTAATGAAGCGTCCCTTAAGCTGACAATGAAACCAGTGCGTGTAAAAAAGGCTGAACCGCCAAGGTTAAATCTTGACCACCTGCCTAATGACGAGCAAGATAGAATCCGACAAGTGGTAAGTGAATTTGCTTCGTTATTTAGTGATATTCCAGGATTTACTCAGGTTACTAACCATAGTATTGACACCGGAGATGCATTGCCAGTTCGTCAAAAACCATACCGGTATGATAAGAATAAGGAAAAAATTATAGAATGGCATATTACCGATATGCTACGTAAAAAGATCATAACGCCCATCTCAAGTAGTTATGCTAGCCCGGTGGTTTTATGTAAGAAAAATAATGATTATCCTTTGGAGCATCCAAAAAGGTGGAGATTCGCTATTGATTACCGTAAATTAAATTCCATAACGAAATATCCGGTATATCCGTTACCGATCATAGAAGAAATTTTAAGGAACATAAAATCAACCAAATTTATGACGACTTTAGACTTAACGACTGGTTATTTTCAAATAGGGGTGAGGCCTGAGGACGTGCCTAAGACTGCTTTTATAACCAAGTCTGGCACTTATGCATTTTTGCGTATGCCGTTTGGCCTTTCAGGGGCAACATTTCAGCGATGCATGGACATTGTGTTAAGACCTGTTCTTGGAAAGTCCACATTTATCTATTTAGACGATATCATTATTACTAGTGATAATCTCGACCAACATGTACAGGATTTAAGACAGGTGTTTTCTTTATTAAATGAGGCCGGTCTAAAAGTTAATGTCGAAAAGTGCAAATTTGCAGCCCCCTGAATTAAAATATTTAGGTTACAAAATATCTCAAAAAGGGATCGAGACAGATGAATCAAAAATAATCGCTGTACAAAAGTATCCGACTCCAAACACGGCAAAGAAGCTCTCTTCTTTTCTAGGACTTTGTTCATATTATAGGTCCTTTATAAAAGATTTTGCGGCTATCGCTGAGCCATTGTTAAAATTAAAAAGGAAAAAGGCAAGATTCTCGTGGACGGCCGAAGCCAATAGTGCTTTCGAAAAATTAAAACAAGCATTAACGCAAGCCCCTGTGTTGAAATTTCCTGAAAAGGATGAAAATTTAGAAATTTCAGCGGATGCTTCGGATTATGCGGTAGGAGCGGTACTTTCGCAAAATCAGCAGCCCGTGGCATTTTTTAGCCGAACTTTAAATCAAACACAAAGAAACTATTCCGCGACCGAGAGAGAGGCACTTGCAGTTCTGTTAGCAGTGCAAAAGTTCCGAGTCTATTTTGGAAAGGCGCCGATAACAGTATACTCTGATCATGCGGCGGTAACTAGATTGTACTCAGGGAAAAATTTATCCCCAAGGTTAATAAGATGGGCACTCAAGCTGCAAGAATAGAATATAATCTGGTAATCAAGCATACCCCCGGAAAGGAAAATATCGTAGCAGATGCCCTATCACGAATTAAAATTAGACGAACAAGGGTAATACCGTAAAAGTGGCAATGCTTACAGCGTGTACAATAAATTCCCGAGAAACTGTAATAACCGAACTGGGTAAGGATCCTGAGTTTGGAAGTATTTATGAGTATTTGAAGGATCCTGAAAATTTTAGCCACCAAGATATTGTGGCGATAAGAAATAGGGCGGCCCATTACGAACTAATAGATGGTCTATTATTTATACAAAAAACTACGAATTCCAACAACGAATTTCGACCTGTTATCCCAGCTAGTCTTAGATTAAATATCCTGCAGGAGCTCCATGACAGCCCTTTAGCTTCTCATGCTGGTATTCGAAAAACTATCCAACGCGTACGCGAGGCAGTCTACTTTCCTGAACTGCAAAAGTTAACAAGGGCGTATGTCCAGTCCTGCCCAACATGTCAAGCCGTTAATTATATTAATTTCCGCCCGGCCGGGTTTCTAAATAGTATTAAATCCGAATTTCCAAATGAAATAATTGGCATCGATTTATTGGGCCCTTTCCCAAAAAGTCAGTTAAATAAAAGTCGCTATCTCCTTGTTATGGTTGATCATTTTAGTAAATGGACCGAAATTGTTCCCTTAAAACGAGCCTCCGCGAAATTAGTTACTGATTCTATTTTAAATAAATATATTTTAAAATACGGGGCGCCCCTAAAAGTTATATCGGATAATGGTCCTCAATTTGTAAGTAATATATTTGAAGACATGTGCCAAAAACTGGGCATACGTCATTTAAAAATGGTCCCGTATCGGCCGCAATCAAATATAGCGGAACGGGTCAACAGAAATATAGTGAAAATTATCCGTAGTTATGTTAAAAATTTTCATAAAAGCTGGGATAACTATGTCAATGAATTTGCTTTCGCCCTTAGGACCGCAAAACATGATACAACGGGCAAAACTCCTGCTGAGTTATTTCTAGGCAGAAAGATTATAACACCGTTAGATAAATTATTTTATGTGCAACAAAGAGCCCCAGAATTTAAAATGGGTGATATAGAAAAACTAATAAAAGAAGCAAAAAAGAATACGGAAGTAGCACAAAGAAAACAGAAAGCTATATTATGATTTGAAACGACGGGGAGTAACTTATAAAGTAGGGGATGAAGTTTTAAAAATTAAGCATTCACTTTCTTCAGCACCAGAAGATAAAACTGCCAAATTTTTTCCACGATTTGAAGGACCATATGTTATAGAAAAAATAACTCACGCTGTTGTAGTGTTAAAAGCCAGAAATGGTGTGAAACCTGTTCCGCAAACATTGATCAAATCAAGCCCTACTTCGATCGTAATAAAATGCAAATCTTTTCAGATCTTTTGCAGGATCCGGCACGGCAGACACCGCAGGTACAAGTTCCAGAGGTGGAAAACGACAAGTACAAGGGCAAGCCAATGAGAGACAGAAGCAAGTGAAAAGAAAATTGCCCCGCGGAAAAATTGAAGGTAACAAGAAAAAGAAGCCGTTCCACCGTCCAGAAAACAGAGTTCACGAACACCCCCAGAATGAAGAAGGGAGAAGGACGACGTATGTGAAGAGGACCAGGAGAAAGAGAGAAAGGACGGCAACTATAACCCGGCTTTAAAACGGAAGATCTACTCATCCGACAGAACTCTCCGCAGCAAAAGTCGCCGAACTGCGGAAGGGCCATCAGCGGCGGAGGAAAAAGTACAAGGAAAAATTTGAACGGCCAACAACGAGGTCCAAGCAGGATCACGACAGAAGTTTCCCGGTTCCGCCAAGACCAGCTGCCTTCAAACGGCCAAGACCACAAGCAGAGGAGAAAAGGAAGGTATTCAAGGGTGGCCGTAACTGGTGAAAAAACGGAAGCTTCCAGAGGAAAGCACTGAAGGGCGAGCCCGTACAAGAAGGAGGATAAATCCAAGCTACTATCTGCAGTACCTTTAAAGACTGGGCCCAGAAAAGGATGTCCGAATATTACAAAGATAAGTAAAATTTTATGTTACTTTGCAAACTTAAGTTAATCTTTCATTCTTACTGCAAGTGGCAGATTTCAAGAAGTTTTACCTCATGCGAGGTCTACCTTTATCGCCAAAAGGGCGAGAAATGAGTTGTGACCGATTTTCGTTATTATGTTTTTCAATTACTCGCGCGTAAAACTAAAGTTGATGTATAATAGCGTTGTGTAAAGACTTAAATATTGTAAAAAGTTATTGTATAAATTTTATTTAAAACATTCTAGCAAGAAAGAAGTTTTAGTCTGAAAGACTTTTTGAAATGTAGTATTTCAATGTAGAAAGAATTGGCACTTGCTTTGAAAAGAATAGAAGTTAACAATGTACTACTAATGTATGTTTTCAAATGTGTAAAATTAACGGCATGTTGATATGTTCTGTTATTTTAAATGTTAAGAAATACCGTGATATGGTAAAAGTGAAAGTAATGTTAAAAATTTGTTATTCGTGTGACTGTAAAGATTAAATCATGGCGAATATGTGTTAAAGGTTGAATGATGTAGTTAGGCTCTCTGACGCTACACTTTAGAGTTAGCCACTTTCAGAATAGTACCTCAGGGTTTAGAGTTGAAATTAGGGTGTGTTAAGAGGTCTCGTTATGTTGAATTTTAACACGTTAGTGTTTTGATTGTAGGAGGAAGTGTGGAACACGTAGACAGAAACACATTCGTGTTTGGTGTTCTTTTACAACACATGTCAGAGAGCACGGGGAGAGATAATTAAAATAGTCATGAATGAAATAAGAATGTTAAGAGAAGTATAATTCTATATGTTACTTTGCCAATGTCATTGTGTAACATTTCATTAAACTAGTTTTCCTTCCAGATCTCTGGAAGGAACCAGAATTGAATAAAAGCTCCTGTTTAGATGCAGTACAGATGAAAAAAAAAAGATTGTTGTATATCCTGGGAGCTGCTATTGTAACAAATTTCTTTCTTTTAAATTTTCTAGTTTCTAGCGAAGTTATGTTGTAAAAGATTGGCCTCGCGTTAGATTCTAGAGCTAAAAGTTTTCAACAAGGTCGTTTTAGACCTCAGTTTCAAACTAATTAACTCTGGCGGGAAGTATGTAAGGATCTTAAGTTTTACTAACGTTTATTTTATTTTAAATCTTTACTATCACTTCTTATTTTCTACTTCCGGCCAGAATTATAAGCGTGAAGGTTTTATGCAAAGTTTGTCTGGCGAACGCCAAGTATTTAAGTGTGGCCTTTTTGCCAAGCAAGAGAGAGAGAGGAAGCAGTGAGTTCGAAGCAGGCCGCTTACCTTAGAAGTTACGCAGTTGCTGTTTGCCTTCCAGGCCAGAGGTTTTAATCCTCTTGATAAATTAAAACGTATTGTAGTGTTCACAGTCTCTGTGCTACATACGCTTCCTGTTATTATAAGGCCAATCTTCCACGTTATTATTCTAAAGTTAAATTAGAGTTTAGTTTTATTTTTATATCTTTTACGTTAGACCCCGAGTGGAGGGTCATTGTATTCCGAAGTACGGAAGTTATTGTATATAGAGAAAAATAAAGGGTTTTGTATACCCTTCGTCTGTATCCTGTCTACTTACTACAATTAGTGAACATAGCTTTAGTAAGCTCTCTGTTCCGAGTCAGGTCCTTGTATGTTCCAAGGTTAGAAGGATATTGAATGTATCATTTTGAAAAAGTTTTTCATCTTTGAAAGCTAGACTGGTTTTTTTGGTCAATGTAAACGAAATTCTGCGTTGCAAAAGTTTCTGCATTGAAAATAATTTGACTACTTTCGATTACATCTCACAATTGGATATTTTTCTCCATCCTCAAACATGTTTTTTAATTAGGAGAAATGCCAAATAGCCATACTGTAATTAGAATTTTCAGGAAATATGAGCATCTGTTGTTTGAAATTTGCCATATAAGAATTTCTTTTCCTGCTCACCTTTCAAACAAAAAATAAGATGGCATAGAAAATAAGACTAGCAAAGATTTCCTAGATCGTATACAAGACAACAAATAAATGGGTAAATGTGCTGGCTTCAGACAGTGCTACCACAGTAAAAGCTAATATCACTGATATTTTATTTTACAGCGATTTGACTGGATAATATGCCACCCATTTTAACTCGTTGGCAACACTTTCGCCTCTATCACATTTTTTAGCATTGGAGTTTCCCTCTTTCCCATTTTGGCTTATACATGGGTTTTGAATTTGGGGTAAATTTTTGAAGAAAAAATACTCTCACTCCTTATAAATAGATTGGCTTATATTCAGAAATATATGATAGCAAATGCAAAAGCATTCAGAGACTTCCTGCTTTAGAAAGATTTAGTAAAGCAAGTTCACTGATAATTATGTTAAATATGAAAGTTGGTTGATTGTTTAAATATAGCAAAGCTCGAAAGGGCTATCTGCTTAGAGGAAGAGATGCCTTCCTGCAGGGACTTCCTAAGACATTCTAGCTCATATTCAGATTACACTTGGGAAAAATCATGAAAGCAAACCACACAGCCAGCCTAGCCAATTCATTTGCCTAAGTTTAAACTTGGGACAAATTACTGGTATTTAGCAGGCTTTATCTGCTCAGCCATTATGCGGTGTTAAACATGAAAGAACCAACAAATTATTTATGCACTTATTTATTTCCCACAATAAAAATCGAAAAATTTACCAAAAAACCTAATGTCTAACTTTTTAGTGCATTAATTATTTTTTTTTAAATTTAAACGACATAAAAATGCTCTGTTTTAAAAAAAGTGGTATCTAGCTTGTTATTTTACTATTAGAGATAAATGAAAAAAAAAAAAAAAAAACTAATGCACACATGTGTATACAAAATGATTTAATATAAAAAATTAATTAAAATTTAATTGATTAAAATATTAATAAAAATTTCTGATATTAATAGGCAATCTTTTTCTCAGAATAGCGTTTATTCATTTTTGCATTTTTTCTTATTATTATTTTCCAATTTATTCATTTAATTATTCAAGCAATTTCATTTATTGCTCGAAAACATTTTCCTTAATAAAAGTTAAAACCAGGAGATTTGGAAATGTTTGGGCAACCAGAACAATTGGCAGCTATGACAATCTGTGATAAAGATAATTTTTAGTAACTTCTCTGAAAATCTACAAACTTTATTGGAATTGAAATGACACCCAGTGGCTAGCTGTAAGAAATAAAGAAGTTTGCAATTATTTACATACAAACATATTTATTTTCATTTATGTATCAAAGAAAAAATTAATAAATAAGAGAAAGAGGTTGTCATAATTTATTCTCAAGTTTGTCCAACTTGAAAAGTTTTTTCTGAAAACTTAGAAAATTTACAAAAAGCAATAGATCTAGTATGAAAGTACAAGTGGTGACCCTCACTATAGCTTCCAGTAATTTTGAAAAGGGTAGAAGGCAAAGCAAGCAATTATATTTTGAAATTGTAGAAATTAAGGATTGAATTAAGTTGTACAACAGTGATAAAGTCTTTTCAAAACTATCATCATGTTTTTCATACAATATTATTTCAAAACTATTAACACATTTTATTCAACAAAGTTCTTATAAAAAATACAATGCTTGAAAATAATTTATGAAATCATCTAGAAAATACACAGACCTCATCATTTTGTTTCTCTTCTGTATTTGACCTTGCATCTTTAATTGAATTTGTACTTTGCTCAGCACTATCTTTCATATCGACTTTCTCAGTGTAGCGTAGCAACAGAGAATTGCCCAAACGCGAGCCAAGAAATAAATAACCTTCTTCACAAATACACATCTAAAATAATCAAAATGTATACTTTTTAATCCTGAAAGATTATTAAATTTTTTTGAAACAAACAAAAATTACATATTACAAAAGAATGCTGGACTTATATTTTCCTTTTCCAGAAGTTATTCTTTTCTTTTATTTTTTTAAAGAAAGAAATAAAAACTAAATGAAAAAAAAAAAGGCTGCTAACACTTGATTATTTAATATAATACCAAACTTTATTACTTAATAAATTCTAACAAAACACTATTCAAATGAAGCTTCATATTCCTTTTAATTTATCATCATCAGCAAAAATAATCTTATTGTCAGTAACACCATCGTCCAAAATTTCTCAAAAGATTGCATGAATTAAGATCAAATTTAATCTTATTAATTAGTAGGCATGTAATAATAATAAATCTCAATTTTGACATGCATGATAAAATGATTAAAAGACAGTTCATGAAATTTAACACAGTGAACACTTTTGCACATACAACTGCAATTTTGCAGTTGCACATACAACTGCAATTTTTTCCTCAAAATAAATTTAGGTACTTTCTCTTCAAAAATATTTTGTTAATAATAAAACTTGGACTTCTAAAAATTTCACAAAATTTACATATGCTGTTTCTATAAAGCTCTACATAACTTCCATACTGCCAATGGATTTCAGTCTTCTGCGGAGATTGTCATCTTATAAAGATAATGTTTAATACCAATATTTGTTTATATTCCTAGAGGAAGCCATTAAGGAAGATAGTAACTATAAGGATTCACTCTATCAACATTCAAAGAAACGTGAGGGGGGTGGAGAGAAGAAAGCTAACGAGAATGCTATATTTCCCCTTTAAATAAAAACGCATGATAGCAAAATTATTCTTTCAAACCTGCCTCCCCCAACTCCTCCCACCTAATGTCTACAGAGGTTTCGGGACTCAAATTTAACATTTTCCCTAACTCATAAGAATTTTTCGACTTAGTGTTTAGTACTCAGTACTCTAAATTTTTCCCTTTGAAATGCTAGTCATAATTACTATCAATTTATCACAACACTACACACAGGATGTCCTGGTGCCTGTACCACTTGACCTGCTCACCTATGTCAATTAACAAAAAAATTGTAAAGAATTATATACAGATATACATGTATGCACACACACACACACAAAGGAAATAAAGACTACTTCTAAGAAAACACAATCAAAAGAAACTAAAAATTTCACAAGAAATTAAAAAATGACAAAATAATACATTAGAGGACCAAACAGATATTAATGATGAGCTCCCAAAAATTATACTGCATATTATAATTATACACAATTATAAGAGAAACATCCATTATTTTTTCAAATTTAAACTAAAACATTTAGAATATTTTCTCATTGGTAAGCCTAGAACTAGTAGTAAAGAAGGAAAAAAAAAAAAAAAAGAATAACTATTTTCATAATAAATCCAACTGTTAAAAAAAACCGATTTATAGTTTTCATATGAAGTTTATACTTTGCTTGAACAAATTAAAAAAAAAAAAAACATTTTTAATAATAAAGTTTCAAATTATTGAAATTATTGATTCCATTATGCAAAATTTCAATTAATAATTCTTACACTTAATAACTAACTTATTCGGAATAAACATTCAGTTCTATTAATCAGAGTTTAAACTAATAATTCTTACCATTCTTCACTTTTTTATGGAAAGTAATTAATAAATTTCATCTTTAACTAACATTTAAGAGATAAGAAGTACCATACAAAACTAATAAGACAAACAGAATTTAACATAAAATAAAGCTATACTGAAAAAGAAAATGACAGCTTACTTGAAGGAAAACTTTAGCTTAAAATAAATAAAATTATTATCCTTGAAGAAAACTTCAAATAAAACAGACAAAATATAACTTGAATATTATGTTATAATACCATCTTTTCCAGAAAATGTTCATGTATTTTATTAATAAATGTAATTACTTGCAAATAGTTACATATAAAAACAGAGATAAAGAAATGTAATTAATATTGAAATATAGTTGATGCTCATTATAATGACTTTTTGCATCCTAAAGAAAGAGAATGTTATAACTGTAGTCATTATAATGGAAATGAATTTAATATACTCTCATCAGCTGAAGACTTTTTGAACTGGTCACTGAATGAAACAGTTGATATAATGAGTAATCATAACACATGCCTCAAAATATACAAAGTTAGAAACCTTTCTAATAGATTACATACAATATTTAAAAAATAAAAAAACTTGGATACTGATTTAATATTTTTCAAGGGGGAAAAAAAAAGAGTGCTCAAACTGAAATTGAATATTTTCAGACAATACTTACACACGTCGTGATGACACTAGAAGCTGCTCGATCAAAATTAAAACCTCTAACACTTCTCATACCATCATTAAATAGCGTTAAAACATACCTACAATGTAATAAAAATCTAAATAAATTCGTAATACTAAAATTACAAAGCACACTTTATAAGTAAGTACTGTTTGATATTACATAAACATAATACAATTTTTTTAACAATTTTGTTCTTGCATAAAAGCATGGGCCTTAAACTAGTTTTCAATATAGTTTTCTCCTACATTGAGGCAATTATTGTGTTTTGCGACCAACTTCTAAATTCTCTCGTCTTAAAAATCTGCTGCCTAATTTCATAACCATTCTTGGCACCCAGTGTGAACATAATTTCCAATAATTTAAGTGTTCTGTCAAAGTTTTATACAGAATAGAATACATATTGAATTTGAGAACACTTTATTAGATAAAATGATATTTTAAAGCATTTGTTTTCTCGAACATTTTCATGAACTTTCTGGACCAGGCCATCATTAATGATGGAGAGTTGTCAATTTCATCCTTCATGATCATGCTTTACCATTTCCTTAAATTTTAAGAAGTGTTTTGTATGAAATTCTGACAGAATACTTAAATGATCAGAAGTTGTGCTCATTCTGCATACCAAGAATGTTTCTTAAATCAGGTAGCAGATACTAAGAAGATGGAATTCATAAGCTGGCTGCATATGATCAGGGCCATAATGTAGGTAGAAAATATACAGAGAAGTAGATTAAGGCTCAGGCTTCTATTAAATAAAATTGTTACAAAAATTCTCATCATGTTTATGTAAGCAATGCTTACTTATGCCTACTTTCTTAATAAAATACACATTAATAAAAGTAAATATAAATAACTTAATTGTGCAATTTTTAAGTGAACAGTAAAATGTAAATTCACATTACAGGTAATATGTCAGATTTCTTGAATATCATAAGGAAATTTGATATCAATAACAAATAATTAGATGAATGCATAAAATAAGATCTAAAAGGATTCAGATTTTAATGGTCATTCAAAAGGACACTTTTTAACTTGCTGAGCAGCATGATCGGCTTTATCCAGTTTGGTATATTTAGCTTATAATTTAAGATATTTTCCTTTCTTTAATAATGTAAATGTCATCATAATGAACCCTAGTTTATGAAAATACAGACTAAAATGAGTAATTATACAAATTTAACTAATAAATGTTGTTTAAATACAGATCTTCATTGCACACTCAAAAATCTGCGCTGCTCAAATGGTTAAAGTTTAATATATTTTATCAGTAGAGATGGCCTAGGTAAAACAACAAAACATTTCATAGGATATTTGAGGAACAGACATAAAGACTAACATGCGAACATCATATATCTTCTGTTTATTTGAAATGTGAAAAGATATAGAATGTCATTAAATGAAAATACCGAACGTTTTTAATTAGATGTACCAGGAATTCAATGAATTTTTATTTCATCTGATTAAAAAAAATCTTAAGAACTTTATCTATTACTTTTAAATACCTTAGTTTGTTAATCAACAACACACACATTTAGTTGGAAAGATACGAAGAGAATACTTTGCCAACTCCCCACTAGAAAGAATGTAAGTTACTTAATACCTTTTCTGGCCTTTATATCTTCATGTACATTCACTGTTCTTATTATATATTTTTTACATTTTTTTATTATTTATATTTTTGATTTGTTTTTACAAACTTTGCATTATTTATCTTATTTTGTAATCTTCTATGTTTATTTCAACTTTACTTTGAATTCGATTTCATAATAACAATTTCCAATGTTTAATTTTTACAAATAATATAGAACTCAAAATGCATAAACATGAAGGTGTCGGGGACGGTTACTCGGGTTATATTTTTATCGATTATTTCTCTACAGATTTTGCTTTTTACTTCCAAATTGAATTGACTAAATTGCTTCATAAGAATAAGTTCTTTGAGTATAAGCATTGGATCATAATCCCTTCTATTCGCGGAGATATTTGGCCTGACTAGAATTGCCGGTTCGGCTTTAACTTATAACTCGAGTAAAGACGAAACACCTTCGTATTTACGTATTTTTATCAATTATTGTTCGTTGAATGGGAGTTGGTTTGTTCCCATTGAAAAGTCAATTAATTTCCGATCAATGACAATGATTACATGTTTTTAATTTTTTCCTTTTACAATTGAAATTTTATTCTTCATGATGATTTAACTCTAGTCCCCATTATTAAATTTTGCATTATTAAACATTATTAACTTTCAAATTACTTCAAAACATCTTTCGAAATATAACTTACCAGTATGGATTCACTCTTTTAAAATAATTCTACTTTAATTAAACATAGGAGATAATATAATCAATTAATCAATATTGTTTAGAAATAAATGTTTAGGAAATGAATTTATATCAATATAATATATATACATATATGCAATGATAGCACAAATTTTGGAAGCACTGAAATGCGAATGCTGAGACGTAGATGCATAGAAATACTACTGCGTAGATACTTGAAGCTTAGAGTATCCATCCATTTTTGAAGAAGGATCAGTCGAGCCAGATTAAATTCCTTTTATTTATTTAAATTCCCATTTTGTGTCCACAATTCACTTGGCACTCTACTCGTGCCTATTAAAGAACATTTACAATTTTGATATTATTGCCATAGAAGTGAATAAAGCAGCACACACATGATTGCAGAAAAAAGTCTGGCCAAGTGGAAAACACAAGCAAAAGTGAAATATCAGGCCATACAAAAAAGGGATGGAGTAAAAAGTTTCAGTTTTTAGTTTTGGTTTATAATTCGGTGATTGGTCAAGAGGCATCTGCATTAAGGGTTATGTAAGACTTAAGCGCCATTTTTAGGACAGATAGATGAAGTTTCCAAATGAAACAAAAAATAAAAGAGGTTATAGTGAATTAAATTTAGAAGTTTGCTTTCATATTGTTTATCTTATGTATATTTTAGGTGAATAGTTAGAGAGATAGATGAAGAAACCAGTAACTTCCAGACATGGTCGTTTCTAAACACAACTTTATTCCATTATAATTCACATCAGATCATTTTTGTAGACAAGGAATTTATCCAATCTTATTTAAATACGATAATTTTTATGTACACTGATTTTAAAAGTAATGATGTAAGCATTTTAGACAGAAATGAATGGCAGTGCGTAGATGTTAGCAGTGGTGGAAGCTAGGAAAAGAATGACATAATTGTTTTGCAAAGCAGTTTTTATACTGAGTAGATGAAGAAGTGTAACCAAGCTTTGAATGGTTAATTTTGGGTTTTAGTTCCATTTTTCAAGCAGCATTATGTAACATGGAAAGATTTTGAATCTGGGATAACAGATAAATTTAGGGGGAGAATATAAAATCTAGAATAGTTAATTTTGAGGTCGCCAATTGTTTCCTAAAGCAGCCATTGCAGTTTATTATATCTTACATAATTCTGTTATAGCTTACACACACATGCGCACACACACACGTATATATGTCACATTTTGTTAAATGTCAACCCAAAAAAAAAAAAAAAAAAAAAAAAAAACTGAAAGTTTTCAGATTTTAAATTACGTCTAAAGGGCCCTTTTTTAACGTTTTGTGTGTTACCTTTATTTATTAAATATCATGTTCTTTGAACTTAAACCATAAAATTCAGTTCAATAGCAACAGAGTTCCTCGCGCTGGAGATAAAAAGGTTACCCCCACCCCCCGAAGAGTGCTGCCATTACTCGTTTTGAAATCCTTGATTTGTTAATCAAAAATTCGTTAAAGTTTTACAAAATATGAAATCAATAATAAAACAAATTTCAAATTTAGTCTTCCACATGCCCATATTCGTAGGAGGATTACGTCATTCAAAATTCGCTGGCTCTATGTACCGTTGTTTTATCATAATGCGAGAAATATACATACATTTATGCAGATTTTTCATTATTTAATTTCTTCAAATGTAATGCAGGACTCTAACATTTGGTGAAATAGTTTTAAAAGTGAAACGGACATTTATAGTGATTCAACGCAAAATCGCAAAACGAAAACAATAGTCCTTCAGGGACAAAGCCCGTTTGGACTAAAAAGAGAGACATATTACTGACAGGGGATGATATTTAAAGAGAATAAATGCATCTTAACATGTTTCAAAACAAATAGCCCTTTTGGACTATTAAACACTTGTATATATACATATATACATATATATAGGTAACACAAACTGAGGTATAAACAAATAAATTTTGGTCTAATTATTATTTTGGAATGAGACAATAATAATGCTGTTGCAAGCTAAGCTAGGGGTTTGCAGACATCTCTTCAATAACCAAACCAAATGAGCTAGGAGAAACTGACAGTTTACTGTGATTAACAGCAATATGCAGCAAAATCAACAGCTGTAAATACGAGGGTCATTGCACTGCCTGAGAAAACAAAACAGGAGCAAAATTTTACAATAACTTTATTTATATCTTAAAGTTCCATTCAAAATTTACTTTTCAACGTAATTACCCCCTTTATTTAAGCATTTGTCAAGGCGTAGTACAAGGTTTTCGATGCCTTCTGCAAAGAAATCCCGTCTAATGTCCGATAGCCATTGTTGGGCTGCAGCTTTCACTTTGGCATCCGAGTGGTACTGTCGCTTTGAAAGTTCTTGTTTCATGGGACCAAACACATACAAGTCAGGAGTTGAAAGGTCTGGGCTATAAGGAGGGTCATTCCACACTTCCCACCTAAACTTTTTCAGATGGTTGCACATTTGCTTTGCTGCATGCGGTCTTGCATTGTCATGCAGGAGCACAATGCCGTTCGACAGTTTATCTGGCCATTGATTTTTAAGTGATTGTCACAATCGTTTTAGTGTTTCACAGTAAGAAGATGCATTAACTGTGGCACCCTTCAGCGTGAACTCTGTATGCACCACACTTTCTCTGTCAAAAAACAGCATCATCATCACTTTTCCTGCAGATGGAACAGTTCGACACAATGTTTCCACTCGAGCAAGCTACGTTTCATTTCAGGTGAGAAGTGGTGAATCCAAGTTTTATCTCCAGTCACAATTGTGTCCAAAAACTCATTTTCTTCTGTTTGGCAACGT